ACAGCGCAGTAAGGTGGTGGTGCCCTGAGCTCCAGGACATTAGGTCATCAATTACCTTCAGTGTGTCCTGTCCTTTTCCTATAGCCAGTCCCTGTGAGCCCGTGACAGAGGGGGCACCCCAGGGCTGGCCCTAGGATTTATCTCCCAGAGGAGGAAACTGAGGCTCCAAGAGGGGAGGTATGGTGGGCTGGATAAGGGTCCTCCAAAGATGCCCACATTCCAGGCCCCAGAACCTGTGGATGTGACCCCATGTGACAAAAGGGACTTCACAGATGTGACTAAATCGAGGACCTTTGATGGAGGCGTTAGCCTGGATTATCGGTGAGGGCCCTAATGCAATCACAAGGGCCTCTATAAGAGGGAAATAGGAGCTGTGATGATGGGAGCAGAGGCTGGAGCGATGCGAGGAAGACGCCACAAGCCAAGGAACGCAGGTGCCTCTAGAAGCTGGAAAAGGCAAGGAAATGGACTCTGCCCTAGACCCTCCAGAAGGAGCACAGGCCTGCAGACCCATTTTTAGACTTTCTGGTCTCCAGAACTGAAAGGGAACCAATGTGTGCTGTTTTCGGCCACTAAGTTTGTGGCAATTTGTTTCAGCAGCTAACTGGCAGACTAACACAGAAGACGACCACCCAGGATGCCAGAGCCGGCGCAGGAGCGCAGGGGTTCACTGGGTCCTAAGAGCTGCGGCTGCTTCTGCCAAGGGAGAAGCAGGAGTGAGGGGAGGGAAGGGGCTCCTGAGGACTCTGAGCTCCTGGGCCACGTGGCAGGCCTGTGCTTGCAGGTCCAGCCCCCGCACTGCCCTTTCCCCAGCTGAGCCGGCCTTGGCCTTCCTGCTCTTGTTTGCCAGGACGCATACCTCCAACCCGTCCCCCTGGCCTGTGTGACCCGGACACCTGCCCCTGCGCCTCGTTAGGGACCACAGTGTTGAACGCCCAGCCTCTGTGCACGAGCAACTCACTGAAAAATGAACTGACGTCTACTGAGGCAGCAGCAGAGGCCGGGGGCTGTGGCATCGGTTCTGGGAATCAGGAGGGTCCTGACCTTGCCTTCTAAGTGCTCGGGGAACGGTCACGTACACAGACATCTGTCTGCGAGGTGGCTGTGAAAGCGGAACAAAGTGTGGTGGGGACAGGAAGAGAAACAAACATGACAGACCCTGAGCTCTGACTAAATGCTGGGCCTGACCTATCTCGTTTCATAGCATCCTCCCAGCACCCTGACCCTCACAGAGAAGTGACTAACGTCCCTGACTGGGCAGGCCCCAAGCTGGGAAGTTTACATACACTGACGCACTTAATCCTCACCACAAGCCCATGAGGTGGGTTCTTATCCCCATTTCTTGGATGAGGAAACTGAGTCACAGAGAGAAGGTGCCCCTTGCCGAGGGTCTCCGAAGTGGTGGAGCTGGGATGTGAAACCAGTAGGCTGGCTCCAGAGTCCACGCTCTGAGCCGCTCTGCAGAAGGCAGCAAGGCTCAGGCAGAGGAAGGACCACGTCTGCATCCCCGGCCAGGACTAAGTGATGTGGGCTCGGAGGCCAACTGGGTCCACCTGATGCAAACTTGCTGCCTCTTCCATCACGCCAGGCCGCCCCCTGGATTGGGAAACCAGGGAGAGGTTGCTGCAACAGCACAGGTGAGGAGGGCCTCCCCCAGGGCAGGGGGGAATCAATAGAGTTTGGCAATGTGAGCAGCAGACCTGAGGTGAAGGTCCAGCCTGGGTGACCTCCCGGCAGGCTGTGCCCTGAGCCAGGGGTCAGGGACCCCGGAGATCTGAGGGGAGAGAGGTTCTCCCTGGGGGTTGGAGGGCCTTGGAAGCTGGGCAGAACTGCTGAGGCCTGGGTTCTAACTAGCAGTGTGGTTGTGCTCAACGCCTTTCACCTCTTGGGGCCCCAGTCTCGTCCCCTGCAAGGCAAGTGGGTTAATCTCTGTGATCTGGGGCCTCTTCTTGGCATGAGTCTCAGAATCCCAGGGCCCTGCACAGGTGGCTGCTCTCCCTTCCCCTCCACCACCCCCTCCCTTGCTGTGCTGGGACCTCTCCCAGATCCCGGGCTCTAGTGCTCTAACCAGGAATGGTTGCCAGGTGCTCTGGGGCCCCCTAGAGAATCTCCCCACTCCCCCTCCCCATCCAAGAGCCTGGGTGATGCAACCTGCCTGCAATGGCCGCCTCACTCCCTAATCCTGGCTCCTCCGCACCGACAAAGAGTCCCCAGCAGCCCCACCCATGCTCCCAGCCCCAGCTCGGGGGCTGAAGGGGCTGGGCACCTGGACCCTGGAGGACTCTGTGAAGCTGGAGGAGGCCAGGGCATCTGAGTCCCAGACGGGCCATGGGGCCAGGTCAGGGGTGGGCACAGGAGACGGCTCAGGGTGCCAAGACCTGGGCTCACAGGTAGCCACTGATGACCCACTGCCCATAAATTAGAACCTGCTTGGAAGGCCCAGGGAGCTAAGTGTGCGAAATGGCAGCCACTCAGCAGGACTGAGTCAAGCTGCTGGTGGGGGGGCACCTGGCACCAGGGCTGAACCAGGTGGCATCCAACGGCTAGAGAAAAAAAGCACAAGGGACTGGGACATGGGGACCAGGGTCTGTGCCCCGAGGTCTTCTCAGTCAGCACACACCGCACACTCGTTTCCAGCCATCAAAAATATCTCCTCCCTGGCCATCCTCTCAAGAACCCACCATCCCAGTCTGAGATAAAACCAAACTGAGGGACATGCCATGGAATACCCAACCAGCACTCTCCAAAATTGTCGGCGTCACGAGACACAAGGGGAGTTTGAGGACCTGCCGCAGACAGAGGCGGCTGAGGAGATGTGAGGACTAAATGGAACACGGCATCCTGGACAGGATCCTGGAACAGAAAAGGGCATCAGGGGACAACTGGTGAAATCAGTACCGTGTGAAGTTTAGTTAATAGAAACAGACTGATGTCGGGTCCTTAGCGGTGACAAATGTGCCACAGAGATGTAAGATGTCAACCACGGGGGAACTGGATGAGGGGTGCACGGAAACGCTACTATCTTTGTGACTTTTCCGTAAATTTAAAATTATCGCAAAAGAAAGCGTTTAAAGAGAAATACTCCACATAGTGCACGGGCATAACCTAGGTCTTTTCAGAAGAAAAGACGGGGGGATGCTGTGCCTCCCCACAGCCAGCAGAGCCCACCCTCACCTCACCCGCCATCGCTCACGATTGATACTGAGAAGCGGAAGGAGGGCAGCCCCTAAGACTCACTTAAAAGGTGGAAGATCTTCTAAAGCACTTACCGCTTAGCAATGGAAATAAAACACATACACCACAATGACAATAATAACAGTCTCCGTTACGTAGCACCTACTGTGTGCCAGGCATGAGTTTAAAATGCTTGACCTGGACTAATTCATTTCATCCTCATTAACAGAACTAAGAATAGGTACCAATAATGGCCACGAACACTGGTACGTTTCTATTAACCAGACTCCACACTTTATTCTGGTCCTATTAATGGAAACTGAGGCACAGGGAAGTGAGGGGAAATTCCCAGCAAGCTAATAAGTGGGGTGTGGTCAGGGTTTGAAGGCAACAACCCGGCTCCAGAGGCTGTGCTTTTAACCCACTCCATGCTGCCTAGGTGTCACGTAGCCCCCATACAGCAAGTGCGCAAATACAGACAGAGTGGACAGTAAGAGCCCTGAGGGAAGGCGGTCAGATCCCAAGGACGTCCTGCACCAACAGAAGCCTGCCTACGTTCATCCCCAGATGCCTCTCAAGATCAGGTGGCTCCCACCTTCTCTGGATCTCCACTCAGTCTCATAAACACCACAGAAGCGATGAAAAGTCGAACTCCAGGTGCAGCGTCCCGACGTGGACGGCGGCAGGCTGGGACAGGGAGGGGTCTCCGCAGCGGAGGAAAGACCCACATGCACTTGGGCTGGTGGAGGGCCCAGCGCCCAGGGAGGGATGGCCGGGAAGCTCTCCCCTTTTAGCAAATGGGAGTGTGGGTCTCCCTATTTTGGGCAGGGCTGGAACACTGATCCAGCGGGGGCGGCGGAGGCAGAGGACCATCTGAAAGGAAGTCAGGGTGAAGAGCAGGGACAGAACGATGAACCAACTGTCCCTAAAGGAGTGGCGAGGACGAGGGCTGCGGAGACGTGGGCAGGGGATGGAGAAGAGAGCCAGGGCGATGCTGCCCGAATTTCCTGCACCAAGAAAGGGGGCGGCGTCCAGAATTCGGAGTGGAGGAGGGGTGCGATGGCTGGAAACTGGGGAGTAAAGGCGACACAAGAATGACCTATGTGCAGGTGTTGGACGCTCAAGAGTCTGGGGCCCCTGCCAGGAGGAGAGGAAGGGGTGAGACCGGGGCCCCGTGTTCCCATTAGTAATAAAAGACGTTGAACAGGCCCGTGGGAGCCGGGCTCTGGGGTTACAGGTCCCCACTCACTTGATGCTCACGAACCACCCCACCAGGTAGAGCCGATTATTCTCATTTTACAGACAATTCCCCATCTATGAGGCCAGAGAACTTAAGGGATGTGCCCAAGGCCACCCTCGCAGCTCTGAAATCTGAATGGAGCGCGGTCTGTGACTCACGCCGGACTCGAACCCACAAGGAGGGATGGGCAAAGGCAGTTGCGGGGAGGAGACGAGCATGTGGCTGGCCGGAAACTAGTGAACAGGGGAAAGGAGACGAGAGAGAGGCCGGTGCGGGCCTCGGGGCAGAGGAGAGGCCGAATGCCCAGACTGGCAGGGAGGAGGGACGGGACCCCAGAGCCGGGGGAAGGGGACCCGAACCCCGGAGTCGGAGGCAAGCGAGGGCCGGACTCCCGGGGTCGGAAAGAAGAAGGGGCTGGACCCTCTGGAGCAGAAGAATGAAAGGGGCCGCATCCCGGGATCCCGAGGGGGCACCAGGCCCGCCTCCCGGTTGGGGCCCGCGGGGGCGGGGCGCGGAGGGATCCGGGCGGGCCGTGCTGCGCCGCCCCCAGTATATCTGTCCCCAATCCCCGGGGCTGCCTCAGTCCCCGTCCTCAGCTCACGATCTCTCCTCACGCTACCCCGAGGCTACCTCCGCCCGCGTAGCCCCGACCATGGCTCTGTAGCCGCCACCCCTCCGCGCCCACGGGCCCCTCTCCGCGCTCACCGCGCCTGCGCTCTCCGCTCCCGCCTTCCTTCTTCAGCCGAGGCCGCCGCCGCCTCTCCTCTCCGCAGCCATGGAGTGAGTAACCGCTCGCCCCTCCCTCTCCAACCGCCTTTCCCGCCCTTTCGAAGCTCGCGGCCCGCACGACCCGGCCTGGGCGCTGGGGAGACGAAAGCGAGGAATCACGGTCGCGCAGGCGCAGAAGAGGGAAGACGGGCGGTCGGCCCGCGGCGGAGCATGCGCACTCCGCCCGATGGGGGGGGGGGGAGGGTGCGTTCTTCCAGAGAATCTTGGTGTTTAAAGACGGCCCGCGGGAAGTTGCGCCTGCGCACTAGCCCCTCGAACCATTCTGTCCGCTCGCGGTTGCTCAGGCGTCAGCCCACCGAAGTCCGTATTTGTGTGCGAAGGGCGGGCAGTAAGCAATCGCACATGCGCACTGACCCCCAGAGGGGCGGAGCATGCGCTTTGGCCCTGGGCGAGAGAACCACGTGTGGAAGGGTGGGGGTGGGGAGCTGTTCTGCGCCGGCCCCGCCCCCACATCCTTCCGGCTCCGCATTGCTCAGGCGCACTGAGTAGTTTCCCTCTTTCATTCGGACACCTGTTGGGGCGGGGGCTGGCGTAGATTGACAGGGTAGAAGGCGGGACTTAGGGGCAACCTGTTAGAAGGGGGTGGAGCTAGGACCACAGCTATCGCGAGGAGTGGGGCTTGAGGGAGCCCATTGTGTGAAGGGGCGGGGCTAAGCGACTCGTAGCTGGGGGGTGGGGTTTCGATCCGAGAAAGGGGTGGGGCCTCTGGGGAATCATCGGGGAGGGGTGGAGCTAAGACAAACGGTGGGGGGCGGGACTTAGTGGGTCGGCGGAGGTCACCGCAAAGTTCAAAGGGCAGAGTGGGATTTGAGTGGATCACGTTGATGAAAGGGCGGGGCAGGGGGCAATTCCCCTGGGAACTGATTTGAGATGGACTTTAGCGAGGGGATGGGGCCTAAAGGAAATATTTTAGGGGAAGGGGGTGTGGCTGGCAGAAAATTCCCCTGGGATTGAGTTTTTTTATGAAGGGGAATCGGTGGGGGGGGGGAGGGCCCTTAAGGAAATTCCCCTGGGAGAACATTAGGTTTCTGTATTGGAAGGATTGGGCTTGGGAATTCTGAAGAAAAGCGAGTCCTCCCTAAAGAGAATTCCCTTGGGCGTGCATGGGCCTCAGAGATCTGGGGAAAGAATGGGCAGATTTAGAATTCGGAGAGGGCAACCCCCAAGCCCAGTTGGAAACGGGAGGGAGGACCCCCGGGGAGGTGGGGGTGTGGCTTGGTTTCCCTGTGACTTTGGCGCTGGGGGAGGTCGGCCTCTGACCCCAGCGCTGTTTTCTCCCCCTGTAGGTCCTCCACTTCCGCCTTGGTGCCTGTCTTCGCCCAGCTGAGCAACGTCCAGAGCCTCCTCCCTGCTGTCGGTGCAGCCTCCTTCGTTGCCATCCGTGCCCAGCACCTGTGTTGCTGCTATGTCACTCCTGGCGACCCTGGGGCTGGAGCTGGACAGGGCCCTGCTCCCAGCTGGCGGGCTGGGCTGGCTTGTAGACTATGGGAAACTCCCCCTGGCCCCTGCCCCCCTGGGGCCCTATGAGGTCCTTGGGGGAGCCCTGGAGGGCGGGCTTCCAGCGGGGGGAGAGCCCCTGGCAGGTAAGGGCAGGCAAAGAATGGAGGTGGGGTGAGCTGGGGTGTGGGGGCAGGAGAGGAAGAATTCATTCATTCATTCATTCATTCATCCCATAGACATTGATTGAGCACCTCCAAGATGTCAGGCACTGTTTCAGGTGCTGGGGATACAGATGGGAACAAGACTGACACCATCTTTCCCCTCCTGGAGCTTGCACTCCAGTGGGGAGACAGACAAGAGACAAAGTCAATGATAATGTATTGGAATAAGTGAGAAACAGCCATCGAGCTGAAAAATGACAACGGGGACCTAGTTTAGAGTGTATAGCCAGGAAACTCTCTCCAAGTAGGTAGGCTTTTGGCTGAAGCCTAAAGGATGGGAAGGAATGAGTGAAAAGACCCACGGGAAGAGCTTTTCAGCAGGAGGGAACAGCACATGCAGAGGCCCCCAAGGCAGGAATGATTTTATTCATTAGTGTATCCCCAACTCTTGGCACATAGTGGGTTTTCAATAATTAATGAATCAGGGATGAAACAGAGTATGTTGTGTATGTGCCGTCTAGTTTGCCTTTTAAGAATAAACTAGAGAGTAAATCAGAGAAACCACCGAGGTAGAATAATCAGTCAAGAGGATGTTGGGATGGTTGACGTAATGGCTGGTTGACTGTTTTGTTGTTTGAGTCGTTGGTTGGTTGACTCGTTCATTGATTGGTTTGTTAAAAGGTTGATTGCTTGGTTGACTGATTCATTTAGTTGGTTGATTGGGTGGTTGGTTGACTGGTGGTTGGTTGGTTGGTTAATTGGTTAGTTAGATGTCTGACTGGTTTTTTGGTTGGATGGTTTGTTGGTTGGCTGACTGATTTGATGGCTCATTGGTCGGTCGGTTGACTGCTTGGCTGATTGGTGGTTTTACTCAATGAATGGGATGAACGAAACGGACATGAGTGAGCACCAGGTTGGGTGGAGGATCAAGAACTCACGGACCTTTATGTCCCCCCCAATCCTCCAGGTGACGGCTTCTCTGACTGGATGACTGAGCGGGTTGACTTTACAGCCCTCCTCCCTCTGGAGCCCCCCTTACCCCCAGGAGCCCTCCCCCCACCTTCCCCACCCCCACCTGACCTGGAAGCCATGGCCTCCCTCCTCAAGAAGGAGCTGGAGCAGATGGAAGACTTCTTCCTTGATGCCCCACTCCTCCCACCATCCTCCCCACCACCGCCGCCGCCGCCACCACCACCGCCACCACCACCACCAGCACCCTCCCTGCCCCTCCCCCTCCCCACCTTTGACCTCCCTCAGCCCCCTGCCCTGGACACCCTTGACTTGCTGGCCATCTACTGCCGCAGTGAGGCCGGGCAGGGCGACTCGGGGTTGGCGCCCCTGCCTCCCCCACAGCAGCCCCCTCCTCCTCCACCTCAACCCTCTCGCGCGGCCCCCTACCCCCATCCTGCCGCCACCCGAGGGGACCGCAAGCAAAAGAAGAGAGACCAGAACAAGTCGGCAGCTCTGAGGTACCGCCAGAGGAAGCGGGCAGAGGGCGAGGCCCTGGAGGGCGAGTGCCAGGGGCTGGAGGCGCGGAACCGGGAGCTGAGGGAGAGGGCTGAGTCGGTGGAGCGGGAGATCCAGTACGTCAAGGATCTGCTCATCGAAGTGTACAAGGCTCGAAGCCAGAGGACCCGCAGCAGCTAGCCGGGCAGGGGCTTTGGGCGGTAGGGGGCGCTGGTCCTCAGCTCTGGGTCACTTCTGTTTTCTGGAGCTGAGGAGGGAGGGTCCCTGTCATCCCCTTGCCTCCACCTTCATTCCAAACATCCCTCTCCCCCCGCCCCCCGCTTTTATCCTTGTCCCCTCTCTTGTCCATTTTGCTCCCCTCGTCCCTCCCCAGAATCCTAGAATGTTTGGCCATAGGAGTGACGTCTACACTCCTCAAGGAAGAGCTGGGGGGCTGAAGCCCACAGGGGACTCGGGGAGCAGGGCAGAGCTTGGAAACCTGGTCTCCAACAGGGATGGGAGGGCAGGAAGCTATGCAGAATCACTATGCAAATGAGGAAGGAGAGCCATCGGGGCCACAAGGGAGGGTTTGAAGAATGGCACCCTTGTAATAAGCAAAAAAAAAAAACAAGCCAAGGGACCTGGGGGAGCTCCATTTGGGTGGGGAGCCGAAAGGCGGCCGAGTTCACAGAGCAGGTGGCTATGCAGGCAGATGCGAGGCAGGCGGGGCGGGGGATGGCCGTCGTGGGTGACTGGCTGTGCATTTTAGCTCTGGGGGGCATCAGTGTTTCGTGAAGGTGTTGGGGGAGGGGCCGCCTCTAGGTGAGGGAGGGAGGGGACCGATCCTTTGGGGGTTGTGAGTGGAAATAAAATGAAGAACTTCCTCTGGCCTGTGCGTATTGTCTGTGAGAGGAGAAGTCGGGGAGAGGGCGGTCTTAGGTCAAAGACAATCGTGATGATAATAGAAACCACCAGTTATACTTAGGATCGAGTGCACACACTGGGCACATGGCCAAGTTGGGACCAATAGAACCGGCAAAAATACAGGAACCACTTTTAGATTCACTGTTAATTACTTACATAGACAGCGAAAGACAGGATAGCCAAAGGTGCCAGCTACTCAAGGTCCTTGTCACACACCCCAAAAAGGACGATGCGAAAACAAAAGGGGCTGGATGGCTGAAACGAGGTGTGGGGTACCCCACACTGAGGGGCCAGCTGTCTGATGACAGCCTCCCAGGGGAAGTGGGGAGGTAGGTGGAGGATGGCCTGGCAGCCATGGTGGGGACATCCCACTACCTCTGTGTTGAGGGTGTGGAGGAGGAGGAACTATCCCGCTACCTTCTAGGTCCTTCTGGCTGATCTAAGAATTAAGCTGGCAGAGCAACAGGAGAAAGTAAAACAGAATTTTTAATAATATCGGAGAAACCCAGGAAAACTGAGTAACTCAACAAAATGGCCTAAGTCACTACCTTAAATGCCATCTTCAGCTACAGACAAAGGAGGATGTTGAGGGTCAAAGGGGAGGAAGGGAATTTACATGGAGATGGAAAAGCAAATGTTTGGTAAACAGATGTTGGCCATGCCTTGGTAAACAGATGTTGGCCATGCCTTGTTGAGATAATGAGAGATGGAGAGGACTGTGATTAAAGAGCCCTTGTTAGGTTTCTCCCTGTCTGCCACACCTAGTTTATATTATCCTGTAGTTGGCTTATGGTATTAGCTCCTTCCTGGAACAGGCCTTCTATCTTAAATTCTTTTAGGCAGTTAGGAAGGTCAAAGTTTCCTTCAGAGTCTTTTGTTCTTAATAATCAGGCCAGGGGCTGGCCCAGTGGCCTAGTGGTTAAGTTTGCGTGCTCCGCTTTGGCGACCCGGGGTTTGCAGGCCTGGATCCAGACTCCCACCCAGCACCTCTCATCAAGCCGTGCTGTGGTGGCATCCCACATAAAATACAGGAAGATTGGGCAACAGATGTTAGCTCAGGGCCGATCTTCCTCACAAAAAATAAAAATAAATAAGCCAAAGAGACACATTTGGGGGTGACAAATTCTGATCCCCCACAGGGATTTTTTCAACAAATCTAGAGGGAGGGGCCTGCTGGCATTGTTCAGAGAGGCTCAGGGCTGTTGTTGCTGAGGTCTCTGATTCTTTTGTCCTTTTCCTCATGATCACAAGATGGAGGCCACAGCTCCAGGCATTGTATCTGCATTCAAGGCAGGAGGACTAGCAGACTCTGGTGGGTTTCTGCTTACATCTCACTGTCTAGATCTATGTCACATGGATATTCCTGGTTGCAAGGGAGCCTAGGTATAGACGTACCATGGAATATGATTCAGCCTTAAAAAGGAAGGAGATTCTGACATGCTACAACATGGATGAATCTTGAGAACATTACACTAAGTGAAATAAACCAGTCACAAAAAGATAATTAGTGTTTAAATCCACTTATATGAGGTACTATTCTAGCTCCTCAAGGTTCACCCAGGAGTGGAGTCGCTGGATCATATGATAATTCTATTTTTAGTTTTTTAAGGAAATGCCAAACTGTTTTCCACAGCACTGCACCGTTTTCCATTCCCACCAACACTGCACAAGGGTTCCAATTTCTCCACATCCTTGCCAACACTTATTATTTATTGTTTTTTGTTTGTCTATAGTAGCCATCCTGAGGGGTGTGAGGTGTATGTCTAAAATTTTTAATTCAAAAAAGAAGGGATGTATCTAAATATATTGTTGACTAAGATATTGATGTCATTTACCAAAGACCAAATAACGGTGGCTTAAATAATATAGAAGATTGCTTTTCTTGTGTAAATATCCAAGCTGGAAGATGGGGAAGGGAGCAGGGCGGCCCTGCCTCCTGAGTTCTTTCATGGATCCAGGTTCCTTCTCTGTTCTTGCTCTGCATCTCCCAGCTCCGTAGCCCTCAAACTTGAGCATGCATCAGAATTCCCTGGAGGGTTTTTTGAAACACAGATTGCTCGGCCCCATGCCCCAGAGTTTCCGATTCAGCAGGTCTTGGATGGAACCTGAGAATTTGCATTTCTCACAAATGCAGGTGACACTGCTGCTGCTGGTCTGGGGACCTCACTTTGGGAACCATTCTCTTAAGGTGTCACCCTCTTAATGGTCTAAGTCAAGTCACAATTGCTAGGACTTTGTTACAGCAAGCAGGAAAGGGAAAAGAGATACTGGAGAGCAGGCAGCCTCCTTTTAAGGACATAAGCTTGGAGTTTTCCACCACACCTTTTCTGGCCTTTCCTTTGGCTAGAATTTAGTCACATGGCTCTGCCTAGCTGCAAGGGATCCTGGGAAATGTAGTCTCTAGGAGGGTGGCCATTTTCTCAGCCAGAACCTAGGTGGTACTATTATTAAAAAGAAGAAGCAGGGCCAGCCTGTGGCATAGTGGTTAAGTTCTGTGTGCTCTGCTTCAGCGGTCTGGGTTTGCGGGTTGGGATCCCTGCCTGAACCTACACCACTCGTTTGTCAGCCATGCTGTGGTAGTGACCCACATATAAAGTGGAGGAAGATGGGCACAGATGTTAGCTCAGAGCTAATCTTCCTCAGCAAAAAAAAAAAAAAAAAAGAAGAAAGTGAAATGGACTTTAGGGAGTATGGTTATTAGCAAGGTCAGGAATGCAGGGGCTTTGAGGCCAGCAGTTCTCAGTTGTCTGTGGGCCTCAGGGTCCCCAAGACCCTTTCAAGTGATTTGCAAGGTTAGAATTATTTTCATCATAATACTAAGACATTATTTGCCTCTCTCCCTTCTCTTTCTCTCTGGAGTTTTCCAGAGGTTATGTGATGTGTGATGACATCATCACTCTGACAGCTGACAGAACATGTGTTTGTGTATTCTCGTGACTTAGAAGTTTTGCAATTTTAATTGTTAAAACTAAATATTGATAGTTACGGCCCATGCAAACAAAAGTTCTTTGGGGTCTCCGATATTTATTTAGAGTGTAAAGAGTTCCTGAGACCAAAAAGCATGACACCTGCTGCATTAGTATTCATTTCCCCTTAAATTCAAGTCTCGCGATGGGACCATCCAAGAGTTTGAACTGGGGCTGCAATTCCACCGGAAGTGACCATTCCTTACAGCTTCTCAGAAGCAGGGCTTTCCTGTCCGCCCACCGTAAAGCATCTCTATTTGCGACAATGCTGAAACTTACCCGCGTCTTGTGCGTCTGGACCACAGTGGGGGAAATGCCCCGCCCACTTTTGCGTTCTGGAGATGACTGACAGCAAAGAGGCATCCGTGTCCGTAAGACTTAGGTAAGGAGTGACCCCCTTGTTTACCTAAGACAGGGCCACACAGACCCTCCAAATTGCCATTTTTGAACTCATAAGTGGTTAGCTGAATTGTTTCTTCCCCATTGTTAACAAAATGCTGGCTAACCAAACTTAGGTTAAGTCTCTCTCCTTCCCCCTGCTCTCGGGACATTTGGTCCATCTTCAGCCTGAGCCCGAATGCAACCCCTGAATGGCTGGTCTCTCCCATCTACTGTCCTATCAAGCTGCCTTTTCGTCCCGCTTCCCCACATCCTCCTCCCTAGAAAAGAAAGGCTTTTGTCTAACCCTTCGGAGCTTGCAAATCTTACGGTTTTTCCACTTGCAATTGTGTCCCCCCTCTGCAAGAGTTCTTCCTCGCAATAATCCTTTGGAGTAGAGTCTCTACTTACCAAATCTGATTTTTTTTAATTGAGGTGGAATTCGCATAATATAAAATTAATCATTTTAAAGTGAACAATCCAGTGACCTGGAGTACATTCACAATGTTGTACCACCACGAGCTCTGTCTAGTTCCAGAACATTTCCATCACTTCAAAATAAAACCGCGTGCATCCAATCTGTTTTTATTTGACACTTGCAATTCCACGAACTGGTGGAGTGGGTTTAATTCTTGTTCACCCTTGATGGTTTAGCCTTTGGGGTCTGTAATGGGTTGAAAGGTGGTCCCCCCAAAAGATATGTCCACGCCCTCACCCCTGGAACCTATGAACGTGATCTTATTTGGAAAAAAATGCCGATATGGACTCTAAATGCAATGACAAGTGTCCTTATAAGGGACAGAAGAGAGACACAAATAGAGGAGGAGGAGAGCGCCCTGTGCGGATGGAGGCAGAGGCTGGAGCGATGCAGCCACAAGCCCAGGAACGCCCGGAGCCTCCAGAAGCCGGAAGAACCAGGAAGGATTCTCCTCGAGAGCCTTGGGAGAAATTGGCCCTGCCCACAGCTCGATTTCAGACTTCGGCCTCCAGGACTGTGAGAGAACAACCTTCTGTTGTTTTAAGCAACTAAGTTTGTGGGAATTTGTTACGGCCGCCAAAGGAGACGAACACAGGGTCTCGGTTTATGGCTGTGAGGGTCGTCTTTTAGATTCCCCACTTGGGTGACCCCAGGCTTTTCACTATCCTTCATCTATTGGGTGCTGAGCAGAGCAAGATCAAAAAAAGAAGAAGAATAGGAAAAAATGCATCTCTGAGAAGCCATGGCCACAGCCAGCCTTCCTGCGGATGTTTACTCGGGGTACTTAGGGTTAGGAGGACAGTGACCCTCAGAGTTTGAACTCAGTTTGAAGAATCCTTGCTTAGTGTTGCCACCTGGCAGGAACAAACACAAGTGTCAAGGTCCAAGTTCAAGTTCAAGTTCG